GAGAGAAACTGAGAAAGCAAGAGAGATGGAGAGAGCAAGAGAGAGAGATATATGTAGAGAGCAGGAGAGAAACTGAGAAAGCAAGAGAGATGGAGAGAGCCAGAGATAGAGAAAGCAAGAGAGATGGAGAGAGCAAGAGAGAGAGATATATGTATAGAGCAGGAGAGAAACTGAGAAAGCAAGAGAGATGGAGAGAGCCAGAGATAGAGAAAGCAAGAGAGATGGAGAGAGCAAGAGAGAGAGATATATGTAGAGAGCAGGAGAGAAACTGAGAAAGCAAGAGAGATGGAGAGAGCAAGAGATAGAGAAAGCAAGAGAGATGGAGAGAGCAAGAGAGAGAGATATATGTAGAGAGCAGGAGAGAAACTGAGAAAGCAAGAGAGATGGAGAGAGCCAGAGATAGAGAAAGCAAGAGAGATGGAGAGAGCAAGAGAGAGAGATATATGTAGAGAGCAGGAGAGAAACTGAGAAAGCAAGAGAGATGGAGAGAGCCAGAGATAGAGAAAGCAAGAGAGATGGAGAGAGCAAGAGAGAGAGATATATGTAGAGAGCAGGAGAGAAACTGAGAAAGCAAGAGAGATGGAGAGAGCCAGAGATAGAGAAAGCAAAAGAGATGGAGAGAGCAAGAGAGAGAGATATATGTAGAGAGCAGGAGAGAAACTGAGAAAGCAAGAGAGATGGAGAGAGCAAGAGATAGAGAAAGCAAGAGAGATGGAGAGAGCAAGAGAGAGAGAGAGAGAGAGAGAGAGAGAGAGAGCAAAAAACCAAAAAACATGGGACTTCTCATGACTGCTTGGATCTCCTAAAGTGATATTTTGTTATGCCTACAGGTCAGTGGAAGTTATGATGGAATTCATGGAAGTCTCGTTTTTGTTAACCCCTTCAAGTTTTACCAACATGTTTGATATTGGAGTTCTTCATCACACTGCCCCCACTATATGCCATGTTGTATTTTTAATAAAACAAGCAGTGGAATAGGGTTGGGGTATGTACTTTTTTAATGTTCCCCCACCCTGCTGACAAATTAAGCCCACAAAAGTTACTTGATAAACTGACAGCTCCCCCCCCCCCCCCCCCATCATGTTTTGGCTTGTCAGAGACTTTTGATTGAAAATATGTACCAACAAAATCTGAAGGTCATTTTTTTTTTCTTGTCACAGTTTATTCGTGGTAAAGCCCCTGGCTCGAGAATCCTGGAATCAACACCTAAACATAGATCAACAAGAAGAGCTATCTGCAGTAAAATCATTTAAAAATATAAAAATCAACCATATCAGAAACTGTTATCTTTTGTGTTGTGCTATGAAGGCCATCTAACATACGGCTATGGCCCGATTTGAAAAAAGTGGGTATTGTGTAAATTGTATTCATGGTTAAAAGTAATGATTTGAAAATGGCCAATATTTTTCACTGAGGTGATGGATAATCATATATGAACAATTAAAAAACCTTTGGATTTTCATTCCTTCCAGTTGGCAGGCATTAACTGCTTAAAATTGGGCTTATGTCAGATCAATCGCATGACGGCAATCACACAACTGCCCCAATACATTTAGTTGGTATCAGATTAAAGCCCTTTTAAAGCCCTACAATAAGAAACAAAAATCTAATTTTGGTATTCGTATTGTTATTTGAAAGTGTGTACGTAATCATAATATTGTTTTAAAGGAGAAGTCAAACCTGGTATTAAGTTAATTTTAATAGAAGCAGAAGTTGTAATTGACCAAACACAAATTGACCACTCCATTATGTACCTTTGGAGAACATCTCTTATTGGTTCAGTACTAAAACAGAATATGTTTTCAATTTCTCTAATTGTTAAATAAATTTATACATATTATATGCAAATAGAATAATTGCACTTTTATGTTTGTAAACAAACACTTCCCCAAAAAATATCTAACCCTTCACGAACAATCAAGAAAATGGAAATTTATCAAATTTCAGTACAAAGCAAAATCAAAGATGCTCAAAAGATACATCATGGAGTTATGGATTTACATTTGATGGATTACAACTTTTAATTTTCAATACTTTTCTCATATTTATTTGCTTTTCCTCAAACTTTCCTTGACATGTCTAATTCAATTTTGTTTTTATTCAAAAACAATTTTATATCAGGGTGGTTTCCCCTTTAAGCTTTAAGTAGGATATGTTTAAACAAAAAATTCAACTTACAAAGCTCTAACAGTACCCCCATATTTCATTTCTTTTCTTTTCCATCCTCCTTCCTTTACCATCCTTTCTCTCTGCTCCCCCTTTTATGTTTTCTCTTATCACCCTCTATTTCTCCTTTCCTTTACCCTCCCTTCTCTTTCTTTTCTCCTCCTCCCCTTTCTTCTCCCTCCTCACTCTCTCTTTCCTTGAGGTAGCCCCTTCTCCCCTCTGTTTGTCTCTTTCTATTCTTCTTCACTATCTGTCTTTCCACCTGCTTTTCTCAGATCATATAATTATACATGTTCTCATTCCTTTCTATAATTTCAATACTTCAACATTTAAAGCAGATTGTTTACATAATCTTTTTGAAATCACTGTATTAATATTTGTAAAAACCTTGCCTGGATTATTATCTTAATTCAACATTGAAAAATGCCATGTATTCCCCCTCCCCCCCTTTTTTTTAAGTGGATAAAAAATATCACCCCCCCCCAAAAAAAAAAATGAATTCGTCTGTAACATAAAAATACTAGGCCCTAGGCCAATGACTAGTAAATATGCATTTACTTTGGATTACATCCTCATCAGAGCCATCTATGCACAGAGTTTGGCCAACCCGGTTCAAGTTGGACACAATACGGCGACTACTGCTTTGTTGGCAAGCACAAAACAAAAGAATATACGCCATGTTGTGACCCAGTGAAACTAAGTTGGCAAAATTCTGTGTATAGATGGCTCTGATCCTCATCAAGGAATGCTGCCCTCTCTCTATATATTTAGTGTAGGACATCGTGATGATGAACATGTCACCATTTAATTTGGGGCTTAGGAGTTTAGAAACCAAAGGATCATAAGTACAACTTGCATGTATCTCTCACAGTTATTTGTAGACTTTTAATAACTGAATGTCTAATTTGACCCTCATAAATACCTTAAATGAATTTAGAATAATATCATTTTTTAAATATCAAAATAACTACAAGAAAATTTTACAATGTACCTGTATCTACCATTATCAGCTACTAGGTCTGGTAAGCCTTTGACAACCTTTTGGATTGCCAAGAAAAAAACCTTTCTTCACGAAGAACAGTGTACTTATCAAACTAGTAAACGGTAGTATTTACTTGTTTATATTAATAATCTTTATGTCTTCTCCATCTTCTTGATATTGAATTACTTCTGATCTGCAAGAATTAATTGATGATTTATTTTCTTTTGTTATTCAATTAATAATTGTTTTCTTGTATTATTAGTTATTGTTATACTCCTTTGTGTTTATGGGAAATGAAATTAAAATAAATAGTTGCACTTGTACACCAGAAAGGTGTTATGTAAAATAATCAAAACGCTGATCTTCATGATGCACCAGTTTGGTAACATGGAAGAAGGTAAAGGAAAAATATTACTTCTTTCATTACTGAATTAAATATATTTGAACAAGACACAGACATCATAAAAATGAAAATACACTTTTTGATACAATACCAATTCTAAACATTTTATTAATCACTTATACATGTATTAGTACATTATAATAGATAATTAATTTAGACGAAGAATATATAATCACATATTATTACCATTAGAGAGAGAGAGAGATACAACATGGTCAATTTAACATATTAAAAAGGACACATGTCAGATTTTATTTTTACATTAGAGTAGGGTTGTCTGTTAGATTTTAGGGAGTAACATAAGTAAACATCTTATACACTACTCTATATCTGATATTAGAAATAGAAAAGTGTGTCCGCATGAAGTGGTATTAAACCTTTAAAGTAGACCATTACTTTACTATGATACAATATTAACAAACATATATCATTTCTCATTTTAATGTCTAAAAAAATAACATGTAGTCATTTACAGAGATATTAACAACATTCTCTAAACACAAACTTTGCCGGATTTGATTTATCATAATGAGAAAAGAAGTGTGAATCATAGAATATTTCATAATGAATGGACATTATTCAAATGGGATTATTGCATTTGAATGTGTGAACAATTGGTGAAACAGCAATATTGTTAATACTTGTATTCTTGTGAAAAGATGGCAGCAATACAGATCAATATGAAACGTGTCCATAGTACACTTATTTAGAGTATATATAACATTTTGCAAGTGGATCTTGTGAACAGTTCAGAAATTCTTGTAAGAAAAAAAAGCTTAGTTTGCAGCAGGACGCCTCCCCCCCCCCCAAAAAAAAAAAAAAATAAATAAATTAAAAAAAAATAACAAAATTAAATTTAAAAAATGATAAAAATAAAGGAAACAAAATAACAGATATGTCCCATATTTGATCAAAGTGAATCTTTTATGATAAAAAACAAAAGTCCAATTGAGGATTCTATTGAAGGGTCATTCTAATAACTCACTTTTGTTGTACTGAGGGTCAAAACATACCCTCCTCAAATTGGCTACATTGCGATAAGCATCTTTACCTTGCATATTTGCATTGTCTCTATATCTGAACTCTAGCTAGAAATGTATACAAAGGAAGTATTCAACAAAAATGGTAACTTTACACTATATGATGCAATAAGTATATCTATGTTCACCTTAATGCACTGAAGCTATATATACCAGCTATAGCACTGGGTTGTTGATATACATTGAGCAAATGTTTGTAAATTGTTATATTTTTGTAAGGAAGAGAAAGGTGCAGAGGGGCCTATTTACAATATTGACTTGTGACAAAATGAAAGATGGAAGATTTGACTCAGGAATGTATTATTATATAAAGGTATACCGTGTACAAATTTTACAAAGACATGAGAAATATCTTACATAAATGCATATTCTTGTTTCTACGAATTAATGCCCTTATATTTCTACTTTCAATCATTCATTAGAACCAAAGAATATTGGCTGTCAAAAAAATTAGCAGTTAAAAATGTAATTCTTAAAGACAACAATTTCTAATTTTCACTTTATAATCACCTGTTAATTTACATCTAAACATTTAATTTATAAGATTTTGTCTGTCAAGAGCAATAAAGAGAGCCCATATACAAATTTAGAAAAACCTGCCTTAACTTACAGCCATATTAAAACCCTGCACAAGTGTGTAGATTGATTCAATTGATTTAGGAAACACCACATGTCAACCTCTTAACCTGTATAAATCACCACCACTCTGCAATGACAGTACAACAAAATCTCTAAATTCCCTTTTTGGGGGGTACCAAAATTGAAATGATTCCTTATTCTGTAACATTTTTACAATAGTTTATATGGCATTTAGAGGTTACAGTAAGCCTTCCACAAAAAAGAGGAGAAAGTTGAGCCCAGTTTAAGTTTGGTCACTTTCAAGAAAATAGGCCATTGCTGACTATTTATTAAAATATATGATGTCATGCTTCTGGTTATCAGAAGACGATTTGTTTGTCATTTTCAAGATCCCATCAAATACAACTACATTAATAAAATGGTACTGGTTCAGTGGTAAACTACCATTCGAAAGGTTTATTAGAGGAAATGGTTATTGAAAGAAAAAAGATCATCTCAGTGGTCCGTCGAATTAAAAGAAAGACATGATATTTTCATATTATACTTTAATCAATAATATTTTCCCAATCCCTTCTCCTACAAACAGCAGAGAACCTGTATCTTAAACCTACATTGTGTGTTCTTTCCTTTATACAAATAAAAAGAAAAGCAAAAACATCTTTGAACAAGTCACAAGGGAATGTATCAATTCACATATGGCCAAACATCCAACACCCATTACAACTTGTATCATTTGGCACAGTCAGTCAGTCAGACAGAAGATATCAATACTTACAGACATATATGAAAGTACTCTAAATATTTCATGTTGAAACGAGAATAAATTACTTCATTTACTATAGAGAAACAGATGTAATGGATTATTATTATTGCACAATGCAGTAATTAACTAAAAGTACCAGTAGGTTATGTATTTCTTATATACAGTTTATTTCAGACAAGACACAACAAATAAACAAACATTCTATTTGAATTGAAAAGATTAAACCAATGATATCAGGAGTACCTTTGAGATCATAATTACAAACAAACATATATTTAAACCTGAAGAAACAAATTGCAAGCGTCTTTAATATGAACTGTTCTCTAGAAAGTGGAAGAAAATGTATGCATTTCATAATTTTCTTCCAGAATTGTCAATACTACCATTCTCTGCTCCTGCAACTAAAATCTGACTAAATCAAAATCCTGTTTTATAAGTAGTACTATGTATATAGTGAATTACAGTGCTACCCAAACTGGAGCTTTTTAACCAACACAATTTCATCTTGAGACTCTACATTTCATTTGTTGAGAGCCAGAAGGGCATTAAGTCATGTTCTTTTATACGGAGAGAGATAGCACCCTTTCAGCTCTGAACAGATGAGTTCTCTATAATTGCTGTTTCTGGTGCTTCATTACCATAGCTAGCTGTCCAATGCAAAAGAAATACGATTGTCAATTAGCCAGATGTGGTCGTTTTGTTACAACGTAACTGTTAATGTGCCACTCTTTTCCTCTGAACTACTTAAGAATCACTGGAACATTGTCTGTCAAGAGCCAGAAGGGAATTCAAAGTCTTTGAGTGAATGCCCTTTATGCTCTCAAGCGATGAAATCATGTAAAAAGAAATGAACAGAGAATGTGTATACAATGAAAAGAGACAATTCAAACTTAGCCTAATGATTCCTTGGAATTCAAATGAAATAGTATTAAAGTGATCACAAATCACCAAAGATGCTTGCAAAGGTTTTCTTGAGGTTCTTAAAGGTATCTTCGTCTTCTGTGGGCGTCGCCCTGGCCGACGATGACGCCTGAGACCCTCCAGCTGTTGCGTTGGATGTGGATGTTGTGCTGGCGGCGCCCAAGGACCTGACGCTGTTTGGGGTGTGGTTGTTGGAGGGCCTGAAGGGAGTGGTCTGGGGGGAATTAGCAGATGGGGAGTGGGGTGCAGAACGAGAGATGCTTGGAGCTGGGCTGGTGCTCAACAATGAGGAGGAACTTACTTTTGTACTGTGGTGGTGGAAAGAAAGAAAGAGAGAGAGAGAAGATATGGTGGTAAAGAGATAATAATTGTAAATTTGATTTCTGTTGAATATTGTATGAAGAGCATTCAGCAAAATCATACCTAGAAATGTTTACCATAGCTAACATCTCATGTGAAAGTTCTGAGCTTTTCTGTTCTTCTTCTCCATCAGAAAAAACTCTCCTTTAGATCTATCAAGGCTTTAGAATTAGGGTTACTATTATACAAATTTACAATATGATTGCAAATATTGGCAGAGATTTGAAATCCCAACACCTCTCAGACAGATAACAAGATATCATAATTGTCCATGTTTAGTATGGAAGCCTTGTAATCTGCCTGGAACCACTCTCAGTGTTCTTAATAGGTTTAATAGTGTCAACATGAGCATAATAATTTGTACAGGATTCATTTCCTGCCATGGCACTAACATCTTTTTGCAAGACATTAATCTGCCTTTACCACAATCGTCACAGGTGTAGTACATGGATGACTTTTATGTATTTCATTAATTTATATATTTTACCACTTGTGGGTTAATTGGAACACCCTTATCAGCATGAGTGCTGATTTCATAGATGTTTTTAATTTGCATGTTACAAGAAATGAATATTATTACATATTATTACATGCATTGTTAAATGTACATGTACGCTGACACTACATATCTTGAATGATACTGACCTGATGGTGTTTTTGATGATAACAGCATGCATCTTCTGAATAACAAGCTCTGCTATTGCTTTCCTATCATCTTCTTGTTTCTCACCCATTAGACACATGGAAGAATCATTCACCTGAAACAAAAGAAATACATATATAAAACCAATCAGTTCTGTCCTGCTATATTTACATAATCATTTATACATCATGATCAGCATCATAATCAGCGTCTTTATTAATCATTATCATCACCTCATCATCATTATCAATCTCACGTTCTCTTACTCCCCCTTTTCATAATCATCTTCCTTACAATTTTTTAACAGCACGCCCTCACCTCAATGATAAAATCCTTGCCATCCTTAGTATGTATAGCTTCCACTGTGACAATATCCATTCCTCCAAACAACTCTGCAGCCTCATCTATCCACAACTTGAACCTGAAAATAAAAAGTAAAATGGCAAATATTAATTCATTTATCTTTGCTCTATTTTACTCTCCTTATATAGAGGTCAAATCAAATCTCTCTTAATATCAAAGCTTTAAAACTTGAGCGACATGGCCCTTGTTGCTTTGGTGTTCGCTTGGCCAACAAACATCTTTTGTCTTACTATGACCTCACTGAAATGTACTACATGGCGGAAGAGCACGCATTGGATTGCATAATAGCTGGGGCAGATTCATTTAATAACAAAATGCTGAAGTTATGAAAGCCATGGTGCATTATCAAAAACATACAAAAGAAAGCAAATGTCAGTTTAAGCTGAAGAAATTGGTTGGATAAAATTGATATTTCTTCACAAAAATGATCCCAAAAGGGCATTAACTATATGCATATGGTAAATATATGAGTTAATGGTCTTTGGGTTCTCAGCAACCATAATATACATATATTAATGTATATATACATGATATTAATCTCAGTTATTCAGAAAAAGGAAATATAAATGTGTGTGTAGAGAGAGAGAGAGGGTATGGTATGGACATGGTATACTGCTGTGAAGTAAGAAATCAGATAACATTTCAGAGTTAAAAAAATGTTTCAAAAGTATTTTGATGAGAGGCTGTTCTTGACATATCACGTCTGCATTCACGTCATCGTCTTTGGCTGTTTTAAGCGGAACCTTTTCTTGGAAATGAATAAAACCTCAACTAAATGGATACTTATCATGAGTCATAAGCACTCCTCAGAGACAATGTTCCCACCCTCCCAACTTCCTGAGCAGATCAATATTATACATGGCATGTACTGGTTGCATTCATGTTTGATTGCTATGCTGCCCTCTGTGGCAAGACCTATACAGTCGGGCCTAGGGCTTCCTCATAGTCTACAAGTCCAATAGGCCCTTTTGTCCTACTTTGATAGTAGGTCAATGGTCATACAGAACAATTCAAACAAATTATATTGGACTACTGTAAGAACATGGTGTAAACAAAAATAATTGTTTAAATGAACCAGAAACAATGTGTACTTCTTGTTTGTGTATGATTACAAAGTTGCAACTTTTTTCCTGTCCCCCTAGTACATGAAATGCATGATTGCACAATGGTTATGACCTGCGTGTGCAATGAGTAACCACCCTAAATATGCGTAAGGAAATAATGCATACATTAATTAATTTGAACAAACTTATTCCTTGAGTTATGTTAAAAGATGTCAGGGGAAACGTAGCAGAGTGGTAGCAGATGGATGGGACTATAGGGGAAAAGCGAGAAAGAGAGAGAGAGAGAGAGGGAGAGAGGAAAAGAAAGAGAGACAATTTATAAGGAAAATTTCTGATTATGAGACCACTTCATAATTGATCCCACAATATGCAAGAAAGTGTATAGTAGTTGTAGTAGTGGCTATTGATGTTTTGCCAAAAAATGCCCAGGCACGTCCAATGTTGCCCTAGCTCTCCCCTGCCTGTATACATAGCTTTCACTAGATCATTCTTTTCTGTTCAGGAAATCTGAAAGGAACCTGGATGATTCCCCCTTGGCACTGTGCCAAAGAGGTGATGACAAGTACCTGGGAATGAAGGAAGGAGGGATTGAAGGAAAAACAGATAGAAGGAGAGAAGGAAGGGGAGAAAGATAATTGGGCTCATTAGCCCTATTTCCATTATTAGGCAGCAGAAAGCTGGAAAGTAGTCTTTTGCAGGACCTTTTCTCCCTTTCTTTCCTTCGATCTCTTTCTCCCTCTCTCTCTTTCTCTCTCTTTAGATGTGTAGCTAGTCTTGATCTTAAGGTAAATGCACAATACATAATCTATGATTCAAACAACTTAATGAACATTATTTATTTAAAAAAAAAATAATTCCTAAATGGAGCGAGCAATGTTTGCCTATTCAATGATGTATTGGTGGCTCTGCTTTATTTTCATGAATGTTACATTTGCTTTGATCTTGAGAAGGCCTCATGGACCACAAGCTAGCCATATTTGTTATAGCACCTTGGATAAGGGATTGGAAAGGGAGATGATGAGAGACACTATGACATTGATCTAAATTACCTTTGAGGGAATAAATTTCATTTAGTAAAGTATACACGGAAGGAAATGGTAAGGAAGAGACAAAAAAAAGGTGTGAATATAGACATTTTATTTCAGAAAGAGAGATAGAAGGGGAGAGAGAGAGGGGAGAGAGAGGGGAGAAAGAGAGAGGGAGGGAGAAAGAGAGAGGGAAAGAGAGAGGGGAGGGGAGAGAGAGGGAGAGGGGAAAGAGATAGGGGAGAGGGGGGGGGGGGGGAGGGTATCTGAAGCATTTCATAAAGCACATTAAATTGCCCATTTTCCCCCATCTTGTCCCTCAAGACAATCATGACAAAAGAGTTGATGACAAATTAAAAGCCCCCAAAACTATGGGTAAAAAAGCAGTGCATTGCAGCAACCCTATCTATGACTAAACAGGGCGCAAATTAGGACGTCTAGTGCCATGGTCTATATTTAGGAGGGCAACTCGCTTTGATTGGTGAAAAACACAAACCCTCAAAGACACACTGATCATGTGAAATATGATCATGATACAACACAATGAAATCATCTAGTATGTCAGACGTAGACAATTATAAACAACAATTGTGATCACTGTTCGAAGGAAGACAGTCTACATTTTAAATGAAAACAGTTACGCTTGTGAAAGTAAGCTAAATTGGCTAATCCCCTCTCAAATTAGAGCTCACATGATATTTATTCAATAACAAAAATAACCTGTATTTTCACCCTCCCCTTTTACTGGTAAGTTACAGGCATATAACCTGAACAATTCTTTTTTCTTTCTCCACAAAAATAGAGAAACTTAAACATTTCAGCAATACAAATTAGATAAATTAGACTGGCAGACCTATGATTTTTGGAAAGGGTGGGGTGGGCAGATAAGCCATAGCTATTCTAGGAACAATTTATACATATAATGCCAACGTCAAAATTGCTAATAAAATGTATATTAGATCAAATCAAATACACCTAGTTCTGGTTGAGGTTGAATGATAATCCAAATATACTGCAGCTTATGAGAACAATGGAGGGGGTAGTTGAACGAGTCAACAGTGTCTAAATGAGACATGTTTATAAAAAAAAATTCATATTTTTCTTATTGAGTTAGCAACCATCATCTTTGAGCATGGGTGGCTGCAAATGGCTAAAGCCTATGAGATGAAGGGCCAAGGAACATCGACCAAGAAACAGAAAATGTTGATCTTGCAGGTCTTATGGGCTATCTTTCGACAAGATAGTCACTCTCAGACTGAATTAAGCCCATGCCACCAATGTCGGTCTTACTTGAAAGTTCAGGAGACCGACATTTCATTGGACTGATTTTGTGAGTCTCATGGGCTATCTGTCTACTATGATGGTTGGATATCCTGGCTGTAGATTGTCTTGATGGAGGAAACTGGTTACATCTTGGCTGGTGTTATATAATTAGAATTCTAAATTCTAAATTCTTATGGTTGGCCCCAAAAAATCAGTGGGATTGAACGTGAGTATCATCAGGATTAGTAACCAGTGACATAGGACCTACATGTAACTTTAGATTAGTGAGTGAAAAGAAACCTGGACACAAATGAAACAAAAAGTAGGGCCTCGCTGTGAAGGTCAATCCTACACCCACCCCTCCCCTTCATTAACCCCCCTCCTCTTTGTAACCCCCTTGTCCACCACCTGCCTCTGAGTCACACTTGACCTCTACCGGTACTCTATATTCTACCTGTCCTACTTTTTTGCTGAACAACATTTCCCTCAGGGCCCAGACTATCCAATTGTTTCAACCCCTGGATATATATCTTATGTCATATCTGAAGGAAAGGGGAAGATCTACCACACATACATACTACAATACAGTCAATTTAAAGACCTTTTAGTAATTTGATGCACACCCTTTCAATGAAAGTCCTCTTGACAACTAAAAAGCTTTCCAGAGGGTTGTCTGACATAACACCTATAGTATGCAAAGTGGATTCCATCTTTAGAGATGTCATTGTGCAGAGTTAGTGAAAGAAATGGTTTGTAAGCAGGGGTTCATTAGAGAAACATACATAAATTGAAATATGTTAATAAACCGGTCCATCGCATATTGAGCTAACTAAATTCTAAACTTTAACCTTAAAGGCCATCTGTACTAGTGTAAAGGAGGGATTAGACCTCCCTGCAAGGTCACTGGACAGGTGGTTATCTCATCAACTCAGCTCTCAAATAACATAAGAAAAAGAGGATCATGGGGACCAATGGTCACCAATTAGGCATTCTTTGTTATATAGAGGGTGCAAGAAGCTACAAGTAGTGCAGTGGGGCTTTAAACCAACCTACTGTAAAGTCCAATCATAACCCTGACTCTATATCTTTGATGAAATAAGCGCAGAGCAAATGCGATCAAAGAAAGAAAAGAAACTCGCTAGAGCAAAGTCTTACCTGCCGTTCATGGGCATCTCCTCCACTACAGCAGATCCTGTGTTGGCTTTCCAGTTCCCAGAAATTGAAGTCCTCCTGAAAAAAAAGATGTAAAAAAGCAAAATAATTCATTATCATCCTGTTACTAAAAACTCCATCATTCAAAATTGAGAAGGGATGTATGTAATTGTGTGAAATGTTACAATATGAAAGTAATATATTAAGTTTACATAATCATATGTATTGAAGAGATGAAAGCAGTAAAGAACAATAGAAGTCATATTGATGTTTTCATTATGAACATCAGAAATGGCCTCAGAAATGTGATCTATTTCAATGGCATAACTGTAAATATAGAAGAACAAATTAATATTTTTACAAGACTGAAAAATCTCTTCAAAAAAGATTCTTGATAAATATGAGATGTAATTTTAAAGGTATTTGAAAAAGGGTGGTAACTCTGATATCAAAATTTCAATATCACCTTTGAATATTTATAATACTTTCCACAACATAAACAAATAAAAGTTTGTATGACTCGCACCCTATCAAGTGCTTGGTTCAGTATATATTCTAAGACTGCATCTAGGTTAAGTAATTGAGACACTTAAAGTGACTCGGTAACATTGTTGAATGTTGATCACAAAAATGTGTAATTTTTGTATAAAATGCTATTTATTATATTCCTTCTACTGTAATCACCCTATAACAGGCAAAAATCCTGAGAAAATTCTCAAACAACAAAGATATTTATGGTTTTCTTTGAAGGCGTCACTGTGCAACACCCTTTAACAGTGATTTACATTAAATTCTCCAAACCATTTTTGAATTTTCCCAACCATTTTTCCTTGAAAAGAAGACATAAGACAGGCTTTAAAAAAAATCTTTCAACTCTTAAATGGCTGGAATGGTATAAAGAGCCAATTCATTGCTTTGTGATGATTTACATTCATCTAAAATGTAATTAAATTGTATTAATATAGTTGGGAGAGATAAGGAATTGATCAGATCAGTTAATACCCAATTGTTATCATTAATAATGGTCTGTTTTCACTCAAACTTTCAGATTATCATTAATTGTACATCTAGCATTGATGTAACTACTTTGGAACCATTTCTCTCATCTGAACGATGTTACCAAGTCCCTTTAAAAAAAAAAACTATATTCTTGAATATCTTTATTATCATCATGAAAAAAAGGAGGTACATAATCAATTTCTCCCCTATATTTTATTTAACCCTTATCCATCCCCATTCCCATTTAAGATTATTTAAAATGACAGTGAGCTTGTCAGTTTCACTACTCACAAATTGGTCTTTTATAATCTGATCTCTGTTCTTCATTGCCCAAGGGTGATTATTAGCCAGAGGCATCAAAGCCTAGCTCAGACAGCTGGTCATATCAATGTTAGAACCTCATAATACATCAGGGCAAGCTAGTAAGCTTACAGTCAAGTTCAAATGGTCAATATACAAATAGCGGATACTTTTCCAGACATCCATGACTGTTAATCAATATTTGGGGGAAATATATATATATATATATATATATATATATATATAAAAAATTGACTGACAGACCCAGGTGCTGACACCTCAAGGGCAAAACAACACCTTTTTTTAAAAGCCTAATTTAAAGCCACATGATAAGTGTTGGGTAAAACGAAAGAAAAGGGAAGAAAAAAAAGTCCAGTGAACTTCTCTAAATTGATGTTTTATTGTTGCCACAGCAACATAACTACATTTCAAGTTTGCCACGTTTAAGGTAGATTACAGGTTGCTTTTACCCCAGATCGGTGCCAAATTGATGAGAAAAAAAGAAGATAATTTGGAAAGCCCTGGGAATTCCAGAATATCCTAGATGCTGATCATTGACATCATCATTTCTATCAAAGTCACCTCAGTAAGAGATCCAGGGGTGGGCATGAGATGCATGTGACCCTTCCCCCCTCCCCACCCCTCAAAAATGCTAACCTGTCATATAGATCTGTAAAAATGGCTCCTTGAATGTGCCCCTCCCCCGTAGCAATTTAGACACCAATGGTGTCTTAAACAAGTGCTACCCTTTCCTTGTCAGAGAATCTCTAAGTAAAAGGCACCCCCAAATCTTATCTCTGGCCACAAAAGCCTGTCTTTCTTTGAAAAATCAAAAACAGAGTAGATATTATGTAATCCATTGCCCACGGGAACAATAGGAAAATTCAGTACACATCAGTGTAACAATGTCTCTGTCAGAATGTACTACGAAGAAGAAAAAACAGATTGCCATAATCAAAACTTGTCTAGTGTCTTGCAATACTATATGAGTTCATATCATCTTTAACTTGACCATGTCAAAGTACAATAAGATGGTCATTACAAATAATGGTCAGGTGTTACAAAATCTCTTTGTACTATTTTTTCATTCAATTTATTGATAAAGGATACTATATATTGCAAAGTGCAAAAGTTGTGTGTTGAGATTCCAATAGTTCACTGCATACATAAAATGTTTGCAAATCGGGACCAAAAATCTATGAAAATTTCTTGCACACAAATAATCTTATTTATAGTAGTCTATTACTGCAGAGAGAACAAATATGCATATGGAGAAAGGGACTGAAAGGGCAGATTTTTTTTTGAATAGATCAGAAAATGTCTTGAAAATAAGTTTGTTTACATTGCAGTTATCATTCAACTCTAGCAAGAAAAAAACAACCTCAACCAGAATATAAACTGAGCAAAGTGCAGAGAGATTAGAACTTTTTCAAGATAACGGTAGAGAGAGAGAAAAGCTTGAGAAAGTGATGAGAGAACTTTCCTAATTGAATTATAACGGGTGTACCTGTGTACCCCTAGACACCTGTAGATGGGTCTCAGTCAGCACCCATTAGTGCCCACATTGTCCCACATGTCCCTCAGGTAAATGGGAAACTCCCCACAAACTTTTCTTCAGTAGCTCAAACTATACTCAGGTAAAACCAGAATTGTGATTTTTCTTTTGCTGTTTAAATCATAAGAGCATATTGTTTTGTAGGTTTTGTGTGTCTATGAGTTTGGTTCTCATCTTCGCTGTCTGATGTAGATATTAACATGTTGGTAGTGAGGAGCTATATGCACATGGTTCCTTATAAATACAAAGTAATCTACATTCCCACATTGGTTTTAAAAAACAGGTTTGCCCGTGGTGCAAGAGTCAGAAAAAAAAATTACTGTACTAAGTTTAAACTGTGCATGAGTCAAAGACAAGATAATAAAAACAATATCAGATTGACGGAGAGGAGAAAACGGATGTATAAAAAACATAAAGGTGGTGAAATAGACAGCAAAAGAGAAAGGAGGGACTGACAGGGAAAGAGAGAGAGAGAGAGAGAGAGAGAGAGAGAGGGGGGAGATAGAGAAAGAGAAAGTTAGAGGGAGAAAGAGAGAGAGAGAGAGAGAGAGAGAGAGAGAGAGGGAGATAGAGAAAGTTAGAGGGAGAAAGAGAGAGAGAGAGAGAGAGAGAGAGAGAGAGAGAGAGAGAGAGAGAGAGAGAGAGAGAGAGAGAAGCAAGCACTACAGGAGCAACAATAAAAGACATGCACATGATATTTTTTAAAAGATGGGCCCAGATATTATCATTGCATCAACATTAAAAAATCCCCTGTTTGACCTGAAGATGCTGAATTGTACCTGCCCTGGTTTTAACCTTTCTAAATCTTCAGCTCCTTTAGATATGTTGAAGGTTTTAAGGAGGGACGGACCTGGAGATTGGACCCACAATGAACCCCTCCTCACACCCCCTGATACTAAACTACAGCTGACTACAAAACAGGATCTAGTCTTTATGTTTAGGCATTATCAACTTGTTAATCTAATCTCATGGAAGAGACAGACTCTTTCTCACTTTGAAAACTAAACATATTGAGTTTATTTCACACAATTTTGCTGAAGTTTTTTTAAAAATTATCCATGGATGAAACCTGAACTATGCCAACAAGTTTTGAACAACAATCGTAAAATGAGCTAAATGAGCCTTCAATAGTTTACTTGGGGGAGGGGGGTTCCAGCATATGGCATGGAATGAGTTCGTAGTGCAGACTACTTTAAACATACTTTTTAACATTTTCACAAGATCATGAGAGAAGCCAAAAAAATTAATAAAGTTTACAAAGTAAGGAAAACAAAAATGTTTATGAAAAATTATAACCTTTCTGTAAGGTTTTAGCCTCTTAAATCATTGGTCAAGAGGGAATTCTAAATTGAATTCTCCATAGTAACATATATGACCAAATCTACTGGTATCACCGCAAGTTCCAGTTTTGATCTTGTGCACAAAGCTGCAAAAGGTCTGATTATAGAGGTTAGATATCACTGCCATATCATGTGACAATGAGACCTAATTCAAACCTGACAGAACAAAAACTTCAAATAATAATTTTCAGGAAAAAATAGATGACAAGGGCTACTTCCAGGGCAGTACCAAAACCACCCCTTTTCCAATGACACACAATGCATAAAATTTTCCCTTTTAAGCTTTTAAATCTTCTTTTTCTTCAAAAAATTACAAGGAATCAAACTTTCCAGAGAGCAACAACTCTTTTGGCCCCTGGGAAAAGAAGAGCTATCAGATCTTTGACTGCTAGTCTCCTTCAAGAGCATAATTGATTTCTGGTTTCTAAAAAAAAGTCATCAAATTTCACCAGATGGGGGAAACTACAAAACAATGATAGTCCTGAAAATAAGAAATTGGAATAAACACCGACTACTTTAAATTTAGGTTACATTTCTTGATAATTTAGGAAAATGTGTTACCACAAATATATTTCACTTATCTAATCATTAAATTATTAGAAGAAGATGATACAAAAACGTCCTGATTCTAGACTAGAGCACAATGTCACTATGTCATTAGCTCATCCTTGTGTCTTTGGGGGAACAGGCCTGGGACAAACCCCAGGGATGAGAGGAGGGGTGGAAGAAGGGGGGGGGGGGGTGGGTACATAATTAATCACAGCTGCTATTCTCAGAGAAAGTTTGACTCATAAAACCTCAATAGTAGATGTCATAGATGTCGTCAGTTTTTGTTCCATCATTTTTTTCCCCCAGTGTTTATTAGCAACATTCTCATTGGGCTATGCTCATTTTATATTATCCTGCAAGATAGGCTCATAAACATAATTACGGTCAAACAATTCTTCAGAAAAAATTTAAACAACCATAACAAGAAATGCAGCACAGAGTACAGTTAATTTTGCTATGATTAAAAACTTTTTGCTCATATCATATTAGGTTCATGCTCATATACTGTTATCATCTGCTACGAGAGCACAGAGTAACATCGTTGTTCATTCTGTGCCCTGATAGGCAACCACCTGACTTTTCATAAGACGCAACCTACGTTCTTATTTTGGTCTTCTGATCATGACCGCGAACCTCCAAGAGTTCCTGTAATTTACTACTAAACCGCATCAATGGCCGCCCAGGGTTGCCAAAAATTCCCCCCTCCTGCCCCCCTCACTCTCTTTCTTGGGGAGAAAACTCAAAGAAGAAATTAGTCTATCAAATAAGACTCATGACTTGTCTTGAATGACATTCACATATGTAATGGAGAAGGGGCTTCTTGCATGAAAGCAATTAAAAAACTGCACTTTTTTAAATTCAGAATTGAGACTTTGAAGTTGTGTTAAAATGCAACTATTGTTAATTTTGTTAGCTGTCTTGGTTAAATTACCTTAACAAAAAGTCTCTGATGGCTAGAAGAAGAAAACAAATTGTCATAATATTCACTTCTTTTCCCGAAAAACGCACTATATTTTCATGATTACAATGTGTTCAATTCTATAACTGGCAGCAGACTAACCAAAGCACATGTCATATTTGTTCCATTTCAAATGTAGAATGAATTAAAACATGTTTACTTTTCAATAAACAAGATAATATTTGCCCTTATTTTGCTTTACTATATTATATACTGCTAATCATTAAACTAAATAATGCTGTTTGTTACAGAGGTAATCTGAATAAACAACAATATGCTGTCTGTGACTAGGACCAAAGTGGACCTTTATATATATATATATATATATATATATATATAAAATTATAACCCAAAAACGTACAAGTCTTTGAATAATCAATTTCTAGACATAGACATCCAAAATGTTTTCACACTGTCCTTATTACAACATTACATAGTCTTACATCCTTATTCCTACTACTTCATGTCACCAATCAAAACAACTGAGAATAAGATCTCAAAAACTTTCACAAAATAAACCTAATGCAATTCTAATAACCTTGGGCATCACTATTGAAATGTGTGAAAATGACAATAAAATGTTACATATCCAATTATAATAGCTATAGGCAATAAGTTAAGGTACTACGTTGTCCTTAGCATGATTTCATAGCATTGTTTGTGATTGTATTGATATGGCATTCTTTTACAAAATGAGATATAGGTGATATCACCTATAGGTTAAATGAGGTTCAAATGTCCACATATGTATGGTGTTAAGAGCCATCATAACCAATGAGAAGGAAAGAAACATTACAACTCTTTTTGCCGACCAGTCCCGTGAGCTTATCATCACCCTTTTCCTCGGACATTCAGATGACACATAGCTCAAGAGCAAATCAAATTTAGTGAGTAGATACAAACAGTGTCATCCTTCATTTGGTCAATCTCTTAACTCTCTTTCCTGTTTGCTTATCGTCGATTTGTTCCCAGCACGCAATCCAGGCTGCACTCTTATCCCCGCATGGGTGGGAGGAGGGGGTGGGGGAGGGGTTGGGGGTTGGCAGAGGGGTGGAGAGATTTCAGGAAGATAATCGTGTAGTTTGTGCTATATGTGATATACGTACATATAGTATCATGCAGGTGAAGTATGGGCACTAAATCACTAATTCACTAGTCATTTTCCATCATATATATATATATATCAACATAGCACATTTAAACATGTCACCTTCCATAAATCAATTAAACTTTGACCTGAAGGATGTGTAATATGTTATTATATCCCAAAAGAACAGCGGAAGTAGAAAGTAAAGATTTGATATGATTTCCTTCAAATGAGAGGATTGTAAAATCAACAGATTTATCACAAAGATGGTAAATTGAATCGGAAAACTTCCTTTAATGCTTAACATAAACATCTTGCACTTTCTTCTTCAACTCTAGCTAACCATTATAAAGCCATAACTGGATAATATCAATCAGACAGTCAATTTGTTACAAATTAGCTTTGGATAAATGCATCCCGACACTTACCACCTACTCAAAATGTAAACCTTCTTTTCTAAGATTAAGTGATAACCCCTAACAAATTGTTATCAAGATCAGATTGCAATAGATACAAATTGTGGCAACATGTCATACCAAAATAAAATATGCATTTCTAAAGAGGAAAGTGTTGTTGGCAAGATGGACAATCCTTAATTTGGATTAGCAGAAACCTTGGAAGTATTTGTATGAAGAACAGGAAAGTGGTTTATCCCAAAATTACAAGATCGGACATTCTTAACCTAAGGATGACCTTGTTTATTCTGAACATCTTGTTAACCTTCCCTAGCTTTTCCAGAAATCATGTCCATTAGAAGAGCTTTTAAACGATGCACAGGAAAGTCTAATTGCCTCAAATTTGTTTTCATCAACGATCTAAATACCTTGTCACATCTTGTTTAAGCATTCTGGGGGTGTCACGTATTGTGTGCTTAATTACAAATGAGGCCTTGGGCAAAGTTTTCTTGTAACTATTGGAGCCAGGGGGTTACAGATCTAAAGTTTTTAACAAATGTGTTTGAAATACTAACATCTCTTTAACAAGACAAGAATGCTGATTACACACAAGATAAAGGCAACGCTATGCCTTTCTTGGTTATTGAATTTTAGTTTCTACTTTAAAAAATGAGTGTAATTTGCATCTTCAATATTCTGTTGTTAATTTGATTTTCATTTGTTGAAAATGTCAAATTATATAGAAAATTTGCATTAAAAAAACCACTAGCGCTAGTGTCAATGATTTATATAGGTTTCTTGAATTAAAATGAAGTTATTGATATACAAATAAAACACAAATGTGAGTGCGTCATGGTCGATGCAGCGCATGAGGGTATTCACTATGGTGCAATGATACTCATGAGGCATAGCCGAGTGTATTTTGTGCCATTATGAATACCCGAATAGCACTGCATCGCCATAACCTCACGAGCGATAACCCGTGTATTATTTGTTTTATAAAATGGGTCAACAATCTTACGTAGCAAGGCCATATAATAAGATGTCTCCAGCAACCTTCATCTATGGTTGTTATCGCCAAAATGCACCCCATGCAGATGGTACCGTGCATATAGTAAAAATAATGCACGCTTACCCAATTTATTTGACGCTTCTCATTGGCTACATTCTTGAACCCATTTTATAATATCAAATACCACATAATGTATAATATGGATGGTGGGATGAAACACTACCTCATCTATTTGTCACATTCTCCTGTTTCGAATTTGGCTTCTCGCATCAAAATGATCCACTATATTATTAAAACTCTTTCATAATATTTTGTATAATGTTATTCCGTTCAGATTGCCAGTTAGGGTAACTTCCCAACATGGCTGAAGGGATGATCTGAAATAATTGTAGTTTCTATAATTTCTCCCCCCCCCCCCTCAAAAAAACAAAAAAATATATAAGAATAATCCTTTTCTGCCTAGAACCAGAGATAGTTTTATTGAAAGCAATATAATTGTTGATATAATATCATATACCAAATAGAGATAGTTAAGAAGGAATTCATAGCAGCATTGGCAAAGTGTGGGTTGATCAAATCATAGAGGAGGTGCTGGCATTGTGAAGGGGAGGGTGGCATCTTTTTTATTCTATGGATGAAATAAAAATGTACAAGGTTACATATTAGGGGGGATGTGGGAAGGGCATCCTTCCATGGCCCCCACCCTCTTTAATGATAGGGTACATGCCCGTGTGACTATACGTTCACCTCTTATGAATACATGACAAACACAATAGTCAGAAGAGAAGATAATCAATCTAATTAGCAGACCAGACTTACTTGAAAGCCTTGTAGGTGTTGCCAATTTTCTGCACTCTGATGTCATATTGGGCGTCCAGGAATGATTCTGTAGTGGCGTAACAGTTGGTGATGGCGATGACACTGCCAATGTCTTGGAAGTCTTGATGATTATCTACCTTAACCTGAAGCCAAGAAGGAAATCATAAGACACAATTCATAAACATTAATGTCATCAAAGTTAAATATCTGTTTTTCACACATTGCTATATTTCAAACAATAATGACAATAATAATAATAACCACAAGGTGCAGACACTTAGAGAATTATATAACAGTGTAAGGAACTATTTATCAAGAGGTTAAAAGAAAACCTTAGCCCGATAACTCCCAACTCCACCTCTTACTTATGAGAAAGTTTTAGTGCCGTTCTCTGAAACCCATTGAATTTTTCTCTACAAGGCCAATGACATATCACTTATAATGATAACTGTGTTCCTTATGTCTACTTGTTTCTTCTACTCATCAATGTGATTGAGAAGGCCAAAGAGATATAAAGTTAGACATGTTTCAAGTAGCTTTCTTTATATCAAAGATTTTGTAAAGAAAGAGAGAGAGGGGGGCACAACTCTGAACATATAAATCCCAACAACACCTCCCTACACACTTTAAATAATAACAGATTCAAAATAACGGGTTCAAAATGGGAGGAGGTGGTACTGGCTGGCTGTACCGCAACTTATATCTGCCAGAGTCTCTGCGATGTTTTAAAGTATGATGTCTGAGGAAAGCCCCTCAAAGAAAGTGGGCCATAATCATGGGACAATGATCATTCTGCAGATATTTTGTTCAAACTGATCATCCTGAGTTGAAGATGCTGCTGTTACTATGTCACTTTCAATAGCTGCTTCAAACCCATCCAGGAAATTGGATCTGACCAGAATTTATCATGGATTTGGTACTGTGGGGAGTTTCCATGGTAACAGTTTGACATTCGAGTTTCACAACTCAGTATCATGAAGTTATTCTTAGTCAGTAAGATCAGGCACAGAGTGTGGCTGCAACATTTATGGTTTCATGTGTAGTCATGAGTAGTCTTTAGAGCTGAAAATGATTGGGAAATTAGGGTAGAGTACAGCTAAAACATGTCAAAAACTTCCTCACATAATAGAAATAGAAATAGACGTATGAAATTTGAATTCAGAGTATCATTTTTACTAATTACAGGAATCTAATTTACAAATAGGAAGAATGTGCTAAAAATGTATGTCATCCTATTAAAGTACTGCTTCTTCCTTCATACACGTTATAAGAACACCCATATAGGTGAAAAGTCTGTTTTATTGTACTAAAAACAAACATATATATATATATATATATATATATATTAGTTATCTTCAAAACCCCACTTAATCCTTTATGGGAATGAGATGTGACAATATCAATCCTTCAGAGTCACCCAAAGGAAGCCTCTACTGATCTCAAAACCACCCTCTGCGGAAGACTGAACCCATCTCTCTCTCTCTCTCTCTCTCTCTCTCCCTCTCTCAAAATCATTTTCTTTTGCCTTCTCCCTCCCTAGAAGTGTCGTGGTCAAGTGGATATGTCACCTGACTGTGGATCACAACGTCCGCAGTTCAAGTCCTGACGCAGCACTAATGTCCTTTGGTAAGATATTAATCTACATGTGCCACACTCAACCTAGGTGAGGTAAATGGGTACCTGGCAGGAATTAATTCCTTGAAATGCTAGAATGCAGCAATAGCAGCTAGGCTAAAGCCGGAGTATTTTACCAAATTAGGAAGCACATAGAAACGTTTAAATGTGATATGCGCTATACAAGAACCAATATCATTATTATTATCATCTCTCTTCTCTTTATTTCTTTATCTTCATTCCTGTTCTTGTTCTTATTGTTCTGCTTTCTCCCATCAGCCTCCGTTGCACCCTCTCTCTCTCTCTCTCTCTTTTTCTTTCTTTATCTCTCTCTCTCTCTTTCTCTCTCTCTCTTTCTCCCTCTCTTTCTTTCTTTCTTTATCTCTCTCTTTCATTCTCTCTCTCTCTCTGTCTGTCTCTCCCCTCTCTCTTTCCATCTATTGATAATAATCCTGGGAGCCCAACATGTTGAAGTTATCTAATAACCAGCCCCAAAGCCCCAATTTATACATATCTACAGAGATTGAAAACAACACTATCTCTCTCCCTCTTTCTATCATTTACTTACTCTACATTCAATCTTAATGTTGTTTCTCTTTCTCCCTCTAGTCCTTATACCACCCCCTCCCCACCCCCTATCTCTCTTTCTCTCTCTCTCTCTCTCTCTCTCTCTCTCTCTAACTTACTTTACTGGGAATGCACATCTACTGAAGATGGCTAGGATGTAGACCCGCCTTCAATGGTCATTACTTCGTAATCATACATATTCTTTCAAAATGATTTGAAAAGATCTATTTATACGTTTAATCAGTTAGGTGTTCATTTTTTTCAGAATTTACTTTGGATTATTATCAGAACTCTAATTGTATTACAAGCAAGTAAAATACCTTTCCCATTCCTGCGTGTGCATGGCCTATCTTGATGACGACAGGAAACCGAGGGGTAGTAAGCTGAAAATAAATACAGAGAAAAGACAATGGTTACACTTAAATGAAAACATGGTTAGGGAATCCAACAAGTTTCATCTGAATAGAATAAATAAAAAACCCTCACACCCCTTGAAAGATAATGGTGACATTCAAAATAATCATAAGTCATCAAAAGATTTGTAAAAGAAAATTGATGGTACATTCCTCACTGTAATACTAATGAGTTCAAATCACAGTTACTGTAGCTATTAATTCCTTAATGAATGTTTCAATTTCAATATGTATATTTTTTGTTAAGAAAGAATGCTTTTGTTTCGTAATTCACATTACAAACAAAAACATAATAATTACATTTCTTTATTTACATAGGGTAACAACATCTAATCCATGTTCATTGTGTATGAATTGCATACAGATAGGTAGAGAGGAGAGAGAGAGAGAGAGAGAGAGAGAGAGAGAGAGAGAGAGAGAGAGAGAGAGAGAGAGAGACACACACAGAGATAGAGAGAGAGAGAGAGAGAGAGAGAGAGAGAGAGAGAGAGAGAGAGAGAGAGAGAAGAGTGAGGGGGGCAGAGAGGGGAGAGAAAACAATTAGTGTGAGACTGAGAGAGGTTAATGAGGGGAAGGAGGGAGAGAAATAGATGCATGTAAAATGGATAAAGAATAAGACTGGCATGGGGGAAGAGAAAGAAGGTAGGAAGAAGGGAAAAAAGCCATGAAATCACAATGATTATCTCAAAATATATTGAGCAATTAATGAATAGAAAAGGATGTTTAGATTAGAAATAGTGGTTAGGGTGAAACATACAATTCTCAAGATGCTTCAATTGCATGTCTATATACAGGTGAATACATTGTGTATACCACACACTCTAAGACAGATTTCAAAGGCAAAATAATCTGTTGTAAGCCAGAAGGGGAATTGGTTCAATACAAAAGCATATTACTTAATGAACTTAGGGCTCTCAGTAGACAAATTTATCTTCTCGTAAAAAATGAAAAAGAGAAGGAAAACAAAAGGGTGTTACTTCAGTCTACCAAATTGAAGATTGGGACGTTTTCACAATCACCACACACACAATTGCCAAACTATTATGTCTGAAACCATGTATGTCCTTAACTTGTGTGAAAGTATGTGAATTAACACCTCTCATCTTTTCCATTCCAACAACAACTTCATTTAAAACCACTTACCATTAAGGACTGTCACATATCACCAATGAAAAATGATAACCATAAAATTGGTCTTTGTAAAAAAAAAAGAAGCATTGTATATCAATGTTGTTAACCAGTTTTACAGAGACTGTCCTGATATTCTAAGATATGATACCTTGTCTACATAGACCAGTTTTATTGATATCTTAATTGGTGATATGTGACTTGCCCCTCAGCACATATGATAAGTGAATAGTTTTTTTGTAATTTTACATGATGGTGTTCACACTTCTAGTTAATGCTAACCTGGCTTCCAAGTTATTCAAATTTTTACCACCCAAAATAAGTCCTAGAAAATTAGACTGTTGTTGATCTTCATCATTATTATTGATGGAACGTTTTATGACACAGTGCCCTCGTATACCCCCTGCTCCATAGGAAGTTCATGGGTGGATAGGGTAAAGTTTATAAGCATTGAAGCAAGACAAACTGTAAGAAACTGAGAGCCATCTTAGAGTGCCAGCTTGTATCATTCAACACATGCCTTTCTGACTCTGAACAGATCACTCTACAGAGATTGCACTTTTACAAACACAAACTACATCAATAATACCAATCATTTTAAACTATTTGACCACTGTTCTTTCATCTACAACACAATCATCTTGCTTTAGTTAACATTAATTAATTTTAATTGTTTGAAAAGTAGAGTTATTGATTTAAATAGGAACTCAAATTGTCTTTATATTCATAATTTGTTCAATGCTTAGTCTGTGTACAAAATGTTAGTAATGATAATCTGTACAAAATACATGAAATCAATATAATAATTACCTTTCCTATTTTAACTCTTTTTATTAGCCTCAAATCAGTAACATTACCTTAAACAGACATCATGAGGAACACTACAAACACAGCTCAATGTTGAACCACATTTTTCACAAAATGATAACCAAGAGAGGGATTGGGGAGACAACAAACTACAGTGGTGAAATTTTATGGGTTAGATAAACTACTTCCATCTCTCTAAATACACAGATAGAAATACAACGATGCAGATTGGATATCTAAAATTGGTAATCATTTCTATCAGGAAATATTAAATACAGGGGTTGGGAAGAACAAAAAAATGGAAATCTTTGGGATGGATCGAAAACTTCATTCATAGGGGCAGTTACACTGTCATCCAAACACGCCAAAAAATGCCAAACCGGAGCCTGGCCGCGATGTTACCAAGGGCAACTACGCTTTACCGGCAGACATGCCAAGCCCCAAACATTCCAAAACGAAGTGTGATCTTTTGGCGTGTTTTGGCGTGTTTTGGCGTGTTTGGCAAGTATAACCGCTCGCAGTTGTAACATCGCGATGTTAGGCAAGTGACTTCCGGCACTTCCGGATTGTTACCCGCGCTCTTTTAAACCACGTTCTTCCCATGTGATATTTATAGCATTTCCATCGTCGCGCGTGTTATCCGTTCATTCAGCTCCGTTTGTTCCAATTCCGTTAACTCATCCTTTATTCAATCTTCGTTATTCCCGTCTGGCCATATCTGTCTAGTAGTAGTATTTGAGTGTTTTGTTAGATTAATTAATATGGAAGTGAACAATTCCCATTGGACTAATGATGAGATGAAGTTCTTGATTTCGATGTGGAGGCAGGGAGAGCTCCTCCACCAGACTTCCAAGCGTCCCTGCAAACGTGGGGAAAAGGGCTTCAGAGAAATGAGTGGGTACAGAAGAACGAGGGTCAAAATGAGGTTGGTGAGCTCTTGCTGTCGCCTCATAAAGTACCTAAAAAAACGAGCACGACGATCACTTTCCCTACGACGTCGGCGAATTCTCATAATTCCAATTAACAACGATGATTTTCTTAACCTTCCCATATCGTTTTTACTACTAGATTTCGATTGAATTTGGGAAAACTGAATCAGCAGCCGTAGTCCGTACTTCGTAACTTATCCACTCTTGCCTCAAATACTACACGCGAGATAAACAAAACATATCGCATGCATGCGCATGGGATGTATCGCTATTTAGCTAGCTATAGCGCTAGCTGGAAATTGCGCGCGCTAAAAATCTTATAGCAGGCCGGGGTCAAAGGTCGGGAAGACTGCACATGCGCATTACCAACCGAAACACGCCAAAACATCGCTGAACAGCTCCGTCGGTGATGTTTCAGCACAAGTGTAACCGGGTGCACGAAACATCGCGACTTTTCAAAATGAGGTATTTGACAGTATAAATGCGCCTCATGTTCAATACAAAGATAGGAACATATTAATGCAGTTTTTATCTCTCAATATGTTTTTACAATGGCCATAACAGCTTGCAAGAGAATGGATAGGACAGGGCAAAAGGGGTGGGGGTGGGGTGGGGGTGGGGGTGGGGATTATGCATTTGGTTACCTATTTTAATTTCATCTCATAAAGATGAAAATGAATTTATGCAGTTTTTAGAAGTTTTGGAGGAAAGAACAGGCAAAAATACAATGGATGGAGAAATCTATAGGTTGAAAGATCTATCATCAATCTTGTAACACTATAATGCTATGATCATTTGTAATATGGGATGAACATAATATCATCTTCTGAGACCCAAAAGGTCAATAACTCATATCTTTTATACACTATCAACACCCTTCTGGCTCTCAATAGAAACTTTCATCTGTTCAGAGCAAAAAGGGTATCCTCATAGCTTCAGGAGATGATATATCAATAGAGGAAAAGGTATGGGTTGAAGAAAATACTTCCAATCTTTGTAATATATTCTATGGAGTAAAAGGAGAAGAGAAAGAAGTAAAAGGAAAAGGAAAGAGAAAGAGAGAATGAAACAAGCAGAAACATTTCATGAGTACTGTTCAGGATTGTGAGAAGTCTAAAAAAATGTATACTACAAACTTCACCTTAACTTTTCACAGGACTTAATACCAATTTTGTAGGGTATCATTTCACAAAACCACGACAATTACAAGTTCACCAAAATAACCACGAGATGTGTGTTGATTTGAATCCACACATTCCAATGGGATGTCTGCAAAGTTTGGCAGTTTCATGAAACAATGCAGAGAACTCCACTAATCCCAACAACTAATCAACATCAACTATTTTAACTGCTTCAAGAACAAATACATCGAATCACTCTAATCCATTTGGGGAAACATCAAGCAAGACTTATTTAACAATATCACTCTCATATTAACATCATACATCAAACATTAGACCAGCTAAGACTATCTAAAACATTGCACAATTCAACAAGATGAATGATTGCGGATAGCGATATTGCTATTATTGGTAATATTGAGTTGAACAACTGCAGAACTGATGAAAGGTGATGATGAAAAATATGAACTGATAATGATAATTAGAAGGGGTGGGGTAATTAGCTGATGATAGGATGGGGGGGGGGGGGGTAACTAGCTGATAAAAAGAAGGGAAGGTTAAGGATGATGGTAACAAAAAAACACCGTGCCAGTGAAATGTCAAATTATTTACCATGCCCGTGTAAAATCCAATCGCCTAGATGCAAAATGCAAGTGATGGACAATAAAGAAACATGGAAAAAAATAAACATTCACAAGTGAATACAACATAAGCCATGAAAAAAAGAAATAAAGCGATAAAGAAATAATACAAAAATAACGTCTTATCACCTGCATAACGTGTGCTCTGAATTGACCCGATTTTAATGTCTATCAGAACAAAGAGATGTAGATGAAAGGAAGGAAAAGAACAAAGTATTCAATTTGAAATCAATGACAGATATCGTACAAATCATACAGTGTTTGTAGAACTAGCATGGTATTTGATGATCAGAGTCACATGAACAGACATCAGACCATCACTCATACACAACAAAAATTAAGATCAGCTTATTTTGCATATTATTTTCTTTATATCAATTTATTAAGTTTTCTAAAAAAAATAAGTATGCTTTCAATTTGACAGAGTGAATTTCTAGAAATATCAACTCAGTCTATCAATATCAATATGATTGCCTGTAAAAAATGATTCAAATCATATTCACTCACACAAAATACAGCCTAGGGAGAAACAGTTTCACACTAATCAATCCCTTTTTATAAATAATTATCTAGGTATAAACTAGATGACTGTATAAGGAATTAATCACCAAAGAAATAAAAAGTGAACTGTACAAGATAAGAACTCATCCCCAAAACTAGCAAAGTTGATAATATCCAGTCCATCTTCTTGACTGTATCTCTATGCTAGAGTCACTCTTCTCATGTTTAACATACATGCATGTATGTCACATAGGTTGCGTTTATCTAGCAAATTTTTGGCTAGAATCAGGTTTCTCAAACGTCTTTCATGCAAATTTAGAAGTAGATAAATGCAAAGCCTTTTTCAAACGTCTTTAGATATGGGCATATCTAAAGACGCAAAAAGGTGCGTTTTGAATGTGACATACAGCCAGAATCACGTTTCTGAGAGATCGATAAACGCAAAGCTGTTTTGAACCTCACATACAAATATGACCACCCAGGTGTTGTGTACAAGCATACGTGTGAAGTTGACCTCCGAGAAACTGTCTGCTTCCCGGGTCAAAACAGCTGGGCAGACACAAGGCCTTTATTTTGAATCGTGAAGGGTCGATAAACGCGACATCCCGCAAATCACGATCGTATAGTGGGGTACGATAGTGGGGTTCGATAGTGGGGTACGATATGTACTTATCTAGTGGCAAGCCTAGATAAACGCGCTCATAGTGATACCTGAATATAAAGACTATGCAAAGGTAACTACAGGTGTGATCTTTACTAGCTGGTGGTGTTACACACAGGTTGTTTTTGTACAGGTTTTAATGAAAAATTCTTTCCAAGGGAGCAACAACAAAAACAAAAACAAACTAGAGAGGTGGCCACTAAAGCAGATGCAATTTTACCATGTTTTGTTCACAACAAAATCTCAGCTCATTCTACAGAGTTTCAAATTGGTAAAAATAATCTTGAGACAGAAATATCGAAGAAACAAAAATAAGGAGCCAAAGAGAAAGAAAGAAATGGAACACTTTGCCACGCAGGCACGCACAGACCCCTGCCGGGTTACACGTGTATAAATGAGCATCAGTAGTCGTTATCTCGTCAGGGACCTCGTATCTACCCACCTGGAATTTCCTGGGAAGGGGGAAGGGGTTCGTTAGGAGGGGCAGATCGGACTCACTCACAACAACAAGACCCCTCCTACCATTATCCTTTACAGTGTAACATAATCTTCTTTTGTCCTTTAGAATTGTACAACTCTATTATTTTGTCAAACTTGATGATACAATGTGAGTAAGTTGATATTCAACTGGTATCAAAGGAAAAAATGAATGGAATTAGATGCAGTACATGTGTCCTAGTGGAGTTTAAATACTTGACTGAAGATGTGAAGGTTGTGGGTTCAATACCTGGCAAGGCACCTTTGGCCTTTAACAAGACATTAGTCATAATTTTCCACTCTCAACACAGGTGTAGTAATTGGGCACTTGGTATTTATTCCTTAAAATACACTGTTCACTGGTAGTGGATGCCGGAGCTAAAGCAGTGGTAATAACATACACAGGCAAAGAGTGCATTATTACTATTAGGATTAACAGCTAGATTAGGCTCAGCAATATCAAAACTGCACATCGGGTTACACTTTAGATGTAATAGCATCTTCAGCAACCATACACTTTCTGGTCCATGCACATCTTTATGCATCAATAACATTATACTTAAGCTACATTATTGATATGTGCACAATTATAAATTGAGAGCTCCCTCTTTAACATTCTATGATTCACATTCAATGAGTAGAGATTGAGAAGAAAAAAAGAGAACAAGAGTGAAAAAGATTTTTATCCCACCCTTTCATCCAAGATTTATCTTCACGTAAGAGCTGAAGGGACACAATCTCATATTCTTCAAAATACAGTTAATTCCCTTCTAACTCTCAGTGAATTTCTAAAATCTAATATACAGATGATAATTCCAATTTGACACATGAAGATGATCCCTTCTTCTCATAAAAAAGGACCTTGGATATGACAGAACAATTTCAGCCGAACATGTCTCGCACATTTGAGAAACAAGCGCTCCGCAAGGCATTCCATTACAATTCATTGTCTCTTTTTATTAGGAGGCATACGATCCAACAATAAATATATCTGGTCTACCCTTGACAGATCTCCCTCAGGTCCACCAAACTCAAGTTTGCAGGAATTAGCCAATTTCCCTCCCTGTCCAATGCTTTACTACGAGTCCTCTTGGCTCAAGACCAAAACCTTGTAAAATCGTTCTCTTCACACCAGAGATTTAAATTCATTTTATTTTGTCAAATGTGAAGGAGTTAACTCACTGGTGATGAGATGAGTAACCAGCGTATGCATGCTGTTAGGGATTTAAAACCAAAGAAGCGTGTAGAATGCATATAGGAATGAGAGCATTCACTAGGTTAATGGGTGAACAGGGCTAGGAGTGAGAAACTGTATTCGATAGTTCTTGACGAACTTTGAATACAAGAACATAACAGAAATCTTTGAAGTCTCAACCTTTCTCCATGTTTTTCAAAAAATTCCTTAGAAATTGTTAAAGTTTTACTTGTAACATGGCATAATTAGGGTTGCTAAAGAATTCCTTAGAAATTGTGTACTTTGTTGTACAATGATTTGAATATCTTAATCAATGTATTTTCTTTTATACACTGTTTTAAAGCATCAGTCTTCATATGACTTCTATATTTCCTCTGATGATTATGTTGGGAAGATCAAAGGGAAAAAGCTGGAAAATACAGCTTTCAACAGTGAAACCAGCACTCTGAAGCAGGATTTAGTCTTTTAAGAATATGGTATGTAATCTCATTCTGATAATAATCATCTTTTTCATGTAAACAGGTGGTTGGTTTAATTCTCCAAACAACACTGGCTAGAGGAGATCGATTCGCGTTCATCCCTCCTCACGTAGTACCTGTCAGAAATGAACTACGTGAGCTAATTAAGTCTAATAAAGCGCATAAAGAGGGCTGGCAAGTGCTGGTCATGTATTCTGATTTTTGCTCATGATCAAGGTGATGATAAACGGCATCAAAACAAGGAGGGGGTGGTAGGCACCCCTCAGCGCCCTTTTGTTTGTAATCTAGGCCCCACGGGTGCTGGCATCAAATAAATTGATAAAGAAAACCGAGCCAAATGCCTCGATTGAAACAAAATCGAGACTTAGTAGTCATCATGAGGAAACCTGATCATTAGTCTCTTCTTTGCTTTAGTTAATTTCATCAAAAGCCAAAATGCTGAATTTCTAAGAATCGATCTGCTAATAACATTCCACTGGAACTTGAGTCAAAGCTTTTGACGTTGTGTCATTGTGGTAAGTAATTTGTGAGTTAGAAAATTTGAAAACACACACAAAAATAAAGTTCAGTAAAAGTCTGAAAGTTTACTTAGGATGTGAAGCATTTAATAATTTAACTCTTTCTGTGAAAGAATCACAAAAAATGTATTATTTTCAAGAGAAATGTCATCATTGTTTTTAAATTATACTCATGGCAGACAGGTTCGTCACATATGCTGTTTCTTTGTCACATCCAATTATAATGGGGCAATGAGAGATGGATAAAACCAATGCCTTTGTCTGGGTATTCTGTAAAGTTTCCTTTCTACAGAGAAAACATCATTGGACAAAAGTTTGTTTCCAACAATTGGTTGATGAGGGGTATTTTGGTGTTTAGTTGCTGGTTTGTTATCATCTTGGCCTAATGCCAATTTACACTACTGGGTAAAAAAACATTAAAAAACATTTTTGTTTGCTCATTGTGATTTGGGGGTGGCTAGTGCGCATGCGCGATTTGTCGCTGCTCTGCATGCGATCAGCTTGCATGTGATCGCACGAAAGTGAGGGGAATCACAAGACCAAAACCCATAAACATTCACCATTATTTTGAGAGTGAGCATTTACACTGCAAAAACCATTGAAATTTCTGCCAGCGTTTAAAAAACAATACTCCAGAGGTATCTTCTTGTTGTCGTAATTACCTTTAGTTGCTTTGCAACTTCTGACTTTCTGGGGGGGGGGGGGCTATGGTGCAAGGTTGGATGGGGAAGGGGGTGGGTACGAGAGGAGAGTAGGATAGGGGATGGGTGGGAGAGGGGAGAGGTGGGGGAGGAGAGGAGAGGAGAGGGGATGGGCGGGATAGGGGATCGTGGGAGAGAAAAGAGAGAGGAGGAGTGGGAAAGGGGAGTGTGGGATATAGAAGGGGTAGGAGAGGGGAGGGGTGGATAGAGGGGATGAATGTGAGAGGGGTGGGAGAGGGAAGGGGAGGGATGGGATTTGGAAGGGTAGGAGAGGGGAGGGATGTGAGAGGGAAGGGGATGGAGAGGAGAGGGTGGGATATGGAAGGGGTGAGAGAAGAGAGGATGAATAGTAGAGGGAAAGGTGGGAGAGTAGATGGGTGGGAGAGGGGAGGGGCGTGATAGGGGAGAGGTGGTAAAAGGGAAGGTTGTGAGATGGGACTTGTTGGCCTATGATTGCAAATCAACACCTGGTAGTACTAAATTGCACATGACAAAATACTGCAAATTATCGCACAGAGGCCATTTCACACTAATGAGCCTATGGGACAGCTGCTTCAAACGTAAATATGAACATGAGTCATTGAAAATCACTTTGACTTCTAGCCCTCTTCCTTACACTTTAGGCCATGAATCATCAGCTACCTAAAG